AACTATGTTGTGTAGTGTTGTGTAGAATTGCAATACAAACAACTTTTGGCTGAGGAATTCCTCACGGAACTGAAGATAAAAAAACAACAACGCAGCGCTAACGAGTCGCCCTGAGCAACGTTTGGGCGTTGCGGGCTCGCGTTCGCGGTTGACAAAATCTGTTGACCACGGTTGCCAAAACCTGGCGTGAGTGTGGCTATGGCGGTGCGTGGAGAGGTGCGTGGGCACATGTGGGGCATGCCAAAGGAATCTGAAAAGTTCCTGGCCAACACTTGTTTCGGTTGACTATGCGTTAGGAATCCCTGCCAAGCTGAGGATGGAGAGAGAGGATATGTTGTGTAGACTTGAAATACAGACAACTTTTGGCTGAGGGTGACATCACAATTCCTCACAGAACTGAAGATAAAAAAACAACAATGCAGCGCTAACGCGTCGCCCTGAGCGGCGTTCGGGCGTTGCTGGCTCGCGTTCACAGTTGACGATTTCTGTTGACTGTGGTTGCCAAAACCTGGCGTGAGTGTGGCTATGACGGTGCGTGGAGAGGTGCGTGGGCACATGTGGGGCATGCCAAAGGAATCTGAAAAGTTCCTGGCCAACACTTGTTTTGGTGGACTATGCGTCAAGAATCCCTGCCAAGCTGAGGATGGAGAGAGGATCCGTTGTGTAGAATTGCAATACAAACAACTTGTGGCTGAGGGTGACATCACAATTCCTCACAGAACTGAAGATAAAAAAACAACAACGCAGCGCTGACGCGTCGCCCTGAGCAGCGTTTGGGCGTTGCGGGCTCGCGTTCACGGGTTGAAGAAATCTGTTGACTACGGTTGCCAAAACCTGGCGTGAGTGTGGCTATGGTGGTGCGTGGAGAGGTGTGGGGGGGCATGCCAAAGGAATCTGAAAAGTTCCTGGCCAACACTTGTTTCGGTTGACTATGCGTCAGGAATCCCTGCAAAGCTGAGGATGGAGAGAGAGGATATGTGGGGACAGCTGGAGGGCAGGATCTGGACGCCGCCACCATACCATCTCTGATATTTCAAGACACTATCTTTGGAAACATTGAGTTGACATCATCTTCCCTCTCCTCCTCCCATGTTCTCTCCTCTCCCCATTCATCTGTGGATGATCTCAGACCCTGGCCTTTCGTCTATGTCTAAGGCCAGGGCTTTCACACCCCTGATGAATGTTTGAGAGTGTTCGATTGCAGTCCGAGTCAGGTCCGAGTCAGTCCAAGGTATCTCAAGGCTTCCGCTTGCATTTGTATTCTCTGTATTATCTGGTCGGTTCTGGGAATCTGCACCATACTTATGACTGTGTTTCACGAGTATGCAACAGTAAAGGAGAACATAATTAAAGTGCAGCATCAAATGATTGAACAGGCCAATAAGCACAGGAGACCTTCTCAGTTTGCTGTAGGTGACCTGGTTTGGGTAAAATCTGAGTTTATCCCAGAGGAAAACATATCTCAGAAATTGTTACCTGCCTACAGAGGGCCGTGGCAAGTATTGGATGTGATAGGGGATGCAGATGGACCCTCCTATGTTATTGAGATACCTCCACATTTGCATACCTACCCGGTGTTCCACGCGTTAAAGCTCTTACCTTGTGTAACTAATGAACTGTTTCCCAGTCGAAGGTCAGCAATTCCTCCAAGTATGGATGGGAAATTTGATGTTGATAAGATCGTTGCTGAAAGTACTATCCAGACTGGACGCAGAGGTAGACCTCAGCGGCAATATAAAGTTAGATTTGCATATCAAGATCTAAGTGAAGACCGCTGGTTTACTAGGGAGGAATCAATTGAAACTGCACCGAACATAGTGTCTTACTATGAAAGAGCAAGAAGAGGTGTCAATATTGTGGACAGGTAAGAACTTTCTCAGAGGACTTCGAAATTAGGCCAGCGAGAGTAAAAGGGCCTTTACGAACTAGACCCCAAATGAATGCCCCAACAGCAAGGGGTCCTGTCGGCCAGAACTAAAATTCACGAGCAGCAACCAAAAAGACAAGTTCCCTGAGGCATATGTCGCATCCAGAATGAGATGAAAAGTTGTTTTGAAAGGTCACAAACAGGTCCTGAACGAACAGGTATTGGACACAGTTTTCAAGACTGAGTTAGGGTCATGTCTCCTCAATGAAATGTCACATCTGTTCGGCAATGAGTCAAAGGCCACAGTCCCAGTCCAGTCATAATCCCACGAGTCAGTCCTGATTCAGACCGGGAGTCCAAAAGACAGGCCCGATGGCCCAAAGCAGCAGCAGACCATGGGAAAAGATACTGGGACACACACTTTGCAACATAAGGTACTGGGCAGGAGTCCCAGGCACACTTGAGGCTGAACGCAGGCCACGCCAGACCAGTCCAGCACTATAAAGGACTGGCCAGCCTCCCATTTGGCAGATGCTCATCTCGCATGAGAGTGTGGAAGTGCCGTGGCACTTGTGCACCAGATGTGTGTGAGCTGCGCTAAGCTGAGAGCAGCGCTACGTGTGAGGAAAAGGAGAGGGGCGCCGGCTGGAAGGAAGGCAGCCATAGCTGGGCTAGCGCCAGTTAGTACAGTAGTAGGGATATTTAGTAGAAGAGTTCAGTGAGTAGTATTCAAAGTAGATCCTCGTGTCATAGGGAGTGTGCATCCATGATGAGTGGGAGTAGGCCAGAACAGTAGACATAGAGGGAGAGAGAGAAGAAGTCAGACGAGAGAGGGGGAGGTGTGAGCTATGGTGACACTTACCTGTTGAGCGCTGTTGTTGACGTTTGACAGCCGGCGCTGACGAGCGCCAGGCTTGGAACTCATGTTGATCGAAGAAGACTTGTAACTTTGTTCAGCGCTATACATTTTGGACTCACGAAATTCCTCTCTTAATCTGGTTATGATAATTGAGTTGAGCGTCCTGGTTCTCATTTCATCTTCTATTGGGTTTTGTGTGAGACATCGCAATATGTGAAATCTGTGTCTATGCATGTGATCTGATGCACTCCAGCAAGTGATGAACAGTCGGGTTCCTTGCAGCACGGTTGGCACACCCACGAGCTGTTGAACGGCATGTAAGTTCCAATCAAGATGGAACTGAGCGAATGAATTTCTGATTTATTTGGGGCCGGTCAGTTCCACGATGATATCCCAAGGTCGTGGTCCCTTTGAAAAAAAAAGAAAGAAAGAAAGAACTCAGTTGGTACACCCACGAGCTGTTGAAGGACAGATACAAATCCAAATCGACAGGGGGAACTAGTTAAATTGACAGTCCCACGATGATATCACTACCAAAAACCACAATTCCTACACTCTCATTTTCTAGATTCAGTGCCATTCCTTTAACACCACTGGAAAATTCGACCATTTTCGTCGTCCCTTCAAACAAAGAAAAAGAAAAAGAAAAAGAAAAAGAATGGATGGTATACACCTGTCATCGTTGATAAACAGGTCGTGAGTTCGAATTGTGATGGGATCAGATGGGTACGAAAACGTAAAACGACTCAAGTAAAAAATGTGCCTTCCTTTGTAAGTTTGTACCCATTCCAGGTGGCTGAATGACACACACATGTATCTGTGGGCGAAAACATCATGAGTTCGAACCGTGATGGAATCATAAGTTCGGGGTGCCTGGCTTCATGGCCGGCATCGGACTGTCCATATTATGCAATCATTTTATTTTATTTTCCCCTCTTTCTTCCTTCTTTTTCCTTTGCACGAGGGCCATGCTAATCTTCTCTGTATTGTTCTAATTTTAACGGATGAATGGCCTATTCTAGTATTTCAGTGTTTTTCAAAAACAAGATCCGAATCAAGCAAACTTCTTGCGGGAACTTGCACATACTAACCGTCGTCTCCTTGCTTCGTATCCGTCTTTCGCCGTCTCTTTGCCCCTTCCCTCATCTGTAGCTGGGTGTGCGTGAGGTAGTTCAGCCTGAGGCTGTCTGTTTTCACATGTAACTTTTAGCAAGCAAACCGATCACGAGTTTGAATCCCTGTGGAGCCATAGCATTCTCATCGACAGACATGGTGACTCATGTGCGCTGTGAATGCAGATCAAGGCTCTTCAAAGAAGACTGGGAACGTCTCAGAGGGAGGTAAAGCTTTTGAACGAACAGGTGAGCTCAGAGGAGGGGGGGGCTGGGAATGGGCCGGATGGCGACTGTGCGGACAGCTTGGACATCTTGGAGGGAGAGGACTCCAATGGTGCCCAAGCCCTTCAAAATGTGCCTTCTGTTCAATTGCACAATGCTGCAGGTGTCTTGTCAGACTTGTCAGTTAACCTGTTAACCTGAGAAGAGAAGTGTGTGTTATTTTATGTAATTCTGTGGTGTTTTTTCAGTACAACATGGGAAATTTGGGCCCTAAAGAACCTTTGTATTTGACCGGCCGACGACCAAAAAAGAGAAGATAGCCATGTTTTTTTTCTTCAGAGTTCGTTTGCTGACGGGGATTCGAACTCCAATCTGCTTATCAACTGTTACCTGAGGGCAACTGATGTTGAGTGCACTTTTTTTTTGTCTGTAATAGGGCGACGTAAAAGGGCCTTTACGAATCAGACCCCGAATGGATACCCCAACAGCAAGGGTCCCTGTCGGCCAGAACTAAATTCACGAGCAGCAACTCAAAAGACAGTTCCTGAGGCATATGTCGCATCCATGATGAAATGAAAAGTCGTTTCGAACAGTCACAAACAGGTCCTGCAGGTATCAGACACAGTTTTCAAGACTGAGTTAAGGTCATGTCTCTTTGATGAACAGTCATATCTGTTCAGCAATGAGTCAAAGGTTAACAGTCCCAGTCCAGTCATAATCCCACGAGTCAGTCCTGATTCAGACCAGGAGTCCAACAGACAGGCCCGATGGCCCAGAGCAGCAGCAAACCATGGGAAAGGATATTGGGACACACACTTCGCAACAATTGGTACTGGGCGGGTGTCCCAGGCACTTTTGAGGCTGAATGCAGGCCACGCCAGACCCGTCCAGCACTATAAAGGACTGGCCAGCCTCCCATTTGGACAGATGCTCACTT